CTGAGGTCAGGCCACTGGTGTCACTAGTGTCCATGGCTAAGCATTTAGTTTTGATCAATGTCCAGCAGCAAACTAAAAGCAGAGTAGTTTCTATGAGAAGCCAGGGCTTTATTCCAAATCCCGAATCTGTGTTGTGATTCACCTCTATGTGCCAAGCACAACTGGATCTCCTGGATCATATGCCCAAGTGGCACGGCAACTTCTAACTAGTCTGGACCTGTGTTGTAGAGTCATCTCTTCTCCCACTGGGCATACAGCCCTTCTTTTTTTTTGGCTGTAGAAAGAACCAGATGGAACAATTTATCTTTCATCTTAGAAGTGGCATCTTGATGTCCCACTATATTGCCCCCCCCAAAAAAAATTTCATTGAGATAGAAGGCTCCTAGAGTTGTGGGAAATTCCCACATGCCTGACATTGAAATGTTACCAACAGTTCCAGAGTGACAGCTACTCATAAGAGAAGAAACTGGTCAGGCAGTGTAGGGCCAGGACCTAGAAAGGAGCAGCTCTGCCGCTCATCCTTCACAACCTATTCAGTGTTGGCCACAAACTGGGACTGTTCTTGGTTCTATCAGAAGTTATGTCCTGGCTGGAGGCCAGAAATGCCAAAAATGTTTAGGGATCTCAATTTTGTTCCTTGTTATCTTTCTTCTCCTTTTACATAGCACACTGGTTAATTCTGTCAAGGTGACACAATCTAGAGTCACAAATGTAATAGACAAGTGTGGAGCTCTTTGGAAGGGGAAAGTGAACCCAGAGTCAGTTATGGACTAAATGATACAAATTAATTTATCTCTGGTAGGGCAGAAAAGTTTATTTCTTGTCTTGCCAGTTCAAAGTAAATTCCTTCTGGTTTTCTTTTCAACAGGCATGGAGAAAAAAGCATAGTTGGCAAGTCATTGACCTCAATGCAACTAGAATTACTACATAGTTGAATTTATGGGACTTTGATGTCATTCTCTAGGATCCAGCTGTGTTCTGCAGATGCTAAATATATGAGCAGGAAAGGGGTGATTAGGTGTTCCTACCTCTGCAACCTTCAAGTCTTTAACAGTGGCAAACCCTCAAGAATGTGACTTTATTTGGTTTATTTACTGCCTGACAAGAATTTTCTAGATTGCCCATCTCTTTTCAAGAACTTGATCATCTACTCATTGCTGCAACAGGTCTCTTAGGGTAAGATAATACTGCTTTAGCTTTTTGGGACACTACAGTATCCAGCCACCAGTGTTTTGGCAGTTAAGCACCATTCCTTGGTGGGCGCCACTATGCAGTTCCATTGTCTTCGCTGTACTTAGAAATTCCACTTGGTGGTTGCAGTTTCCACTGTGAACTCACAAATTTACTTCTAATAATCATGGTGAAAGTTCTGTTTTCTTGACCCTTCTGAGGTGGGCATGTAGGTCTTATGTAATAAATCCACTCTAACAGCCCCCTTCCCCTAAGCCTTTGGACACTTTCTGGCAGTTCTGGCACTCTGGGTCTGTCTGGGTGGATTGAGGTTAAGTGGGCAATGGAGTTTTACTCAGATTTTTTCACAGTGGATCCAGTGGGTCCCCCAAACCCTCCTCTGGTTGCTTTCTAGGTTGATATGCATAACAGAAAAAGACCTATTCTGTATCCAAACATACTATTACATTATTTTTTAAAACCTTGGAGAAAAAAATATTGAATCCAACATCTTTATCTGGTAGGCTCATACAAGTACATTTAGCTCGACAGAACTTTGTCTTTCCATCGTGAGCTTTGTGTTAATTTCCTAGGATTACCACAACAAAGTACAGTACACTAGTAGCTCACACAAAAGAAACTTACTCTCAAACTTTTGGAAGTTAGAAGCCTGAAATGATATTGTTGACAGGGCCAAGCTTCTTCTGAAGGTTCTTTGGTAAAACTAGGGGTCTTGAGCAGGTTTAACCAAAGAATTAAATCTCAAACACAACAGAAGGCAACAGGTAACAGACTTTACTAAAAGTGAAGAAACACCCTGAGGGAGGAGGAGGGGAGGGAGGA